GTTCGCCCAGAGAAAATACAGGAACATGAGTATTTCATAGCAATACATAAATCATATACCACATGCTTATACGAATCGCATGGCACAGAGGCGAAGACCGCGTTGGAGAGTAGACCTACTGTGCGGTGTGGTGTGATCGTGTGTCGTGTGTTGTGTGTGTGTGGGTGTGTGTGGCGTGTGTGTGTGTGTGTGTGTGTGTGTGCGTGTGGTGATGTCCTTAAGCGGCAGCGTATTAAGCGTATTCCTGTATTTCTGTACTTTATCCAGACGTTTATTAGTTTGTATCTCCAGCAATTTTGGTGTCTCGACTGACGGGTTCATGAGAGCCATCGCTTAGTGGGTCCGTATGTCTTATTCTAAAAGATCACGAGTCATTCTGTCTGAGCGTGTGTGGTCAGTCTGACGCCGCTCACACCCATCATCCCCTCACGCAACGTGGCTCAGCATCCCAGCATCCACACAAACGTTGGCCTCAGCAATCGCCAACATGCCTCACACAAAACGTGGCCTCGCATCCCGCATCTCACACAAACGTGGCTCAGCATCCCAGCACTTACCGACCAAACGTGGCGCCAGCATGCCCACATCCTCACAGCAAACGTGGTTTCAGCATCTCAGCATCCACACCAAATCGTCGGCGCAGCATCCCACATCCTCACAGCGTAACGTGCTCAGCATCCACACATTGTCGCATAGCTCAAGCACCCGACATGATCAGCTCGAATCTCCTCTCTCCCTCGCTCTCTCGCTTTCGCTCGCCCCTTTTCTCTCCGCGCTCTCTCTCTCCCCCCACAATCTCTCTTTCTCATCTTTCCTTCTCTGTCATCTTTTCTCTCACGGGGCCATATCTCGATTGGAAAGCACACCTCGGTGTGAGTCGAGCGCTGGTAAAACAGCGGCTTAGCCGAGTAGTCCAACATTTCTACCAGACTTGTAGAAGTTTGTTCACAGGTCCGGAAACGAACAGTCATCAAACAACGTAACGAAGTGGTGATCACTGCGCAGCATAATAAAGTCCACGCTAGGTTGCCTATAAATCCATTATTTACATAACAATTTACCGGGCACGATGCGCAACACTCGCACGTACGCACGCACGAGCTCTCACTCACACCCGCATACAAGCACGCACGCACACGCAAACACCCACAGCCCGACACACGTGCGCAAGCACACACAGATGTAATACCGGTAGTTACAGACTGCACCTCCTTTTAGATAACCCGACGTCACCGAATTAGCCTCGTAAGTTATGACGGTGTCTCGAGTAAGCTCTAGTGACCGCGCGTGCCCTGCTTAATGGGATTATACATAGTTTAAGAGGTAGACGCATTAAGAGAGTAACTGAGAAACGATATCACGTTGTTTGTTTTGTTGTCAAATATGTGGCCTGATAGACGTTTAGAAGAGCGTGTTAGAATACACCCACCGTAACACTTATACGCATCACGTGTACGCAAGCAGCCTTTCGCTACACAGATACAGCACACACGCGCGCAGCACACACACTCCAACACCACACACACACACAGCACACACACACACACACACACACGCACCGGTGCGACATAGTAAAACAACTGTACGCTTTTGTAGAAATCACTGATATATTATATATCACATTTATTATTCCCTATAACCGTTTAATACCAATTTTGTCACGCTTGCTCTCAACGTGCACGACTAACTACGCACCTAGTACGCTGCAACAGGGCACTAAAACGGCCTCATCACGCGGCCTGCAATATCAGTAGCGCGAATATGAACATAATGCTTGTTCTCATATATTCTCGCGTCTAGCAAAAGTTGTGGTGGGGCCAAGTTCGCCAGCTGTCAGAAATGTTGTGTTAATATTATAAGGTTTGACACGCGGATGTGCGTACGTGGTCGCACTTTTATGTAACCGTGGGCGAAATATATACGTCGAGCCCAACGGCAGAAGCAAGCAGCGCGTGCGTGCAGTGCGTGCGTGCCTACAGTGCGTGCGTGCGTACATGGCGCGCGCGTGTGTGTAGTCGCTCCTATCTAGCGGAATGCGAAAGAGGGAGTGTGAGGAGGACAAGTGCAGGCTAGAAAACGGTGTCTTAATTGTGGCTAGTGGAGCATGTGTTATTGCATCTTGCGCCCTTCCACGTATAAATATAATGGAGGCATCAATTATGATAAGATCATCAGTTATACTAAACATTCATTGCAGTTGGGGGCGACTGAGGTAAAATATTTTTGAACTACAATTGCAAACAAGATGATTTAAATGAAACATCTCCTTCCATTTAGGTGACGATTGCATTGAAGTGAACAAATCGTAGGATCAACATTAGTAAATGATCGACGAATTAAAGACTCCGTTTCACTAGATGAAGCTAAGAATTGCCGCAACCTTTCCCAACGCTAGCTCTTAACTCGCTCTTCGTGTACAGACGCTTTGCACGCGCTACAACCTAGCTCCAAGCGCCTCGAACATACTTGTTGCGATCATACATCATCATTCCGATTTCACTGTAACAATTCGATTTCAGGAAGTCCTAGATAATGAAGACGCTCGAGTTATGAATAAGACGCGACCCTTCTGCCACCCCGTGCGTCGTATACAGTCGTTTTCTAAACAACTTATTGCGAGTTCCAAGCGTCTCTACTATTCTTGACGCTGGTATGTTGTCGTCAGGTGTATAGATGCCGATCTCAGATCCATCCGGAAGGGCCATTAACACCTGCCTCATCAGCTGCCTCTGTACCTGCTATGTTTCCCCGTAGAGTGGGAAGATGCTGTAACTCACGTCTCCAGTCATGTTGATGGCAACGACATAACCTGTTACCTTGCTTTCTGCATCTGTCGCTACAAACGTCAGCTTCTTATAAGCCCGTAAACAGGGACGCAGATAGTCTCCGCGGTCGTGCCCAGCGATGGTCCTGTCGTAGTCGAGTACAGCTTGCAGCATCTCCTCGCTGTATGGACTCAGTATGATATTGGCTTCATCTCCCAGCTTCAGGTATGCTGCGAGCTTGGCGTGATTGACGGTGTAGTAACGGTAGATAATGGCGAACGACTCCGTCGTAAATCCAATCCAATCGCAAGCACACAAACACGCACACACAGACACACACACGCGCGCGCGCACATGCACACACACGCACCGGTGCGACATAGTAAAACAACTGTACGCTTTTGTAGAGAATCCGAAAAAATCACGGATATATTATATATCACATTCATTATTCCCTATAACAGTTTGATACCAATCTTGTCACGCTTGCATCAACGTGCACGACTAACTACGACCTATGTACGCTGCAACCGGGCACTTATAACGGCCTCATCCACGCGGCTGCAATACCATAGCGCCAATTATGAACATAATGCTGGTTCTCATATATTTCTCGTGTCTAGCAAAAGTTGTGGTGGGGGCCAAGTTCCGCCAGCTGTCAGAAATGTTGTGTTAATATTAGAAGGTTCGACACGGGATGTGCCTACGTGGTCGCACTTTTATGTAACGTGGCGAAATATATACGTCGAGCCCAACGGTAGAAGCAGCAGCAGCGCGTGCGTGCGTGCGTGCGTGCGTACGTGCGTGCGTGCGTACATGCGCGCGCGTGTGTGTAGTCGCTCCTATCTAGCGGAATGCGAAAGAGGGAGTGTGAGGGAGGACAAGTGCAGGCTAAGAAAACGGTGTCTTAATTGTGGCTAGTGGAGCATGTGTTATTGCATCTTGCGCCCCTTCCATCGATATAAAAGTATAATGGAGCATCAATTATGAATAAGATCATCAGTTATACTAAACATCATTCAGTTGGGGGGCGACTGAGGTAAAAATATTTTTGAACTACAATTGCAAACAAGATGATTTAAATGAAACATCTCCTTCCATTTAGGGGACGATTGATTGAAGGTGGAACAAATCGTAGGATCAACATTAGTACAATGATCGACGAATTAAAGACTCGGTTTTCACTAGATGAAGCTAAGAATTGCCGCAACCTTTCCCAACGCTAGCCTTAACTCGCTCTTCGTGTACAGACGCTTTGCACGCGCTACAAACCTAGCTCCAAGCGCCTCGAACATACTTGTTGCGATCATAACATCATCATTCCGATTTTCACTGTAACAATTCGATTTCAAGGAAGTCCTAGATAATGAAGACGCTCGAGTTATGAATAGACGCGACCTTTCCCAACGGTAACTTCACCTCGTGCTTCGTATACAGTCGCTTTCTAAACAACTTATTGCGAGTTCCAAGCGCCTCTACTATTCTTGACGCTGGTATGTTGTCGTCAGGTGTATAGATGCCGATCACAGATCCATCCGGAAGGGCCATTAACACCTGCCTCATCAGCTGCCTCTGTACCTGCTCTGTGTCCCCGTAGAGTGGAAGAATGCCGTAACTCACGTCTCCAGTCATGTTGATGGCAACGACATAACTTAACTTCGATAGGCCTCAACTTCGCCTCACCACACCCAGCTGTTCTACCCTGCCTCAACTTCGCCTCACCACACCCAGCTGTTCTACCCTGCCTCAACTTCGCTTCACCACACCCAGCTGTTCTACCCTGCCTCAACTTCGCCTCACCACACCCAGCTGTTCTACCCTGCCTCAACTTCGCCTCACCACACTCAGCTGTTCTACCCTGCCTCAACTTCGCCTCACCACACCCAGCTGTTCTACCCTGCCTCAACTTCGCCTCACCACACTCAGCTGTTCTACCCTGCCTCAACTTCGCCTCACCACACCCAGCTGTTCTACCCTGCCTCAACTTCGCCTCACCACACTCAGCTGTTCTACCCTGCCTCCACTTCGCGTCACCCAACTCGCTCACACCACTTAGCTGTTAACCGCTGCTCACTTCGCCTCACCACACTTAGCTGTTATACCCTGCCTCAACTTCGCCTCACCACACTCAGCTGCTCTACCCTGCCTCAACTTCGCCTCACCACACTTAGCTGTTCTACCCTTCCCCAATCGCGCCTCGCCACTCTAACTCGCGCCTAGTTACTCTCAGCTCTTCTATGCCCTTGCCACGCATGTATTGAAGAACACCTTGGGCCCGACGGTGGGCGCGGCCTCGTGTTTTCCCATGGCGAATTGCGGCCTCTCCGACCACCTTCCGGGCTTTGTCGGCAAGATCAGGTGAACGTCGTGCAGAGTGAAGTCGTTTCTCCTCCCGCCGACTCGCGGCTTCCAGAACTGGATCGTCTGCTTGTTCGCCAACCTCTCCGCCGCCAGGAGGCGAATCTCGCTCGTCTCGTCCGTGTTAACTCCCGTGTAATCGACGAGGGCGCTGTAGTCAATATAGTGATTTTAGAAACCCTTGTCGCGCATTAAAGGGAATATTGGGAAACTTATCACTTACCCTATTTCTATATGAATAGAAATTCGCGCTCATGTAAGCGTAAGTGCCAGCGCACACAAACACGCACACGCACATACATACACGCACACGCACGCACGCACTTTAATATATTGCGAATATTGTATTATAATATATATTAATAGAACATGCAGGAATACACATGTATCAGCATTTTTATATGTACCATAGCGTATTATTTGCTATTAGATATTTCGCTTATTAGATAATATTATGTACATGTACTATTGCTTTTTTAAATTAGGCGTTATTTAACGGAAATTTGGAATTGTATTTGCAGCCGCAGACAGATGTCGCTATTGGCTGGATAAACGAGGCTGGCCAGGTCCGAATGTTTGACGGGTATGTTTCTTAACTTCACCCGCGCTATCGAAAATAAACAGCTACAATATTGATTAGCAAACGTGTGTGGGTAAGCGTATGTGCATTCGTGTGCGTGCGTGCGTGCGTGCGTGCGTGCGTGATGTATGTACCACAGAACACGCCGGAGCAGGGTTCCAGATTGTGAACTGAATTAAAGCTGTGGCCATACAAGTAAAGTGAAGTGCAGAACTAGTTCTCAGCATGCAAAGCTGAGAATATGCGATTTCATATATTTATACGACGAACGTCTTACCTATGTCATAGTATTACTAGTTTGTGTATACTTTGCACGAGAACTTTATTAATTTAAACTATATGCATGTAACTTACCATTCGCCGATTTTGCGAGAATCCGATGGCAACCCATGCATCTGTTCTGCCCACAGTTACGGTAAAGACGACTCCATCTGAAGATGGATCGTACTGCCATACAACCCTGTAGGTGGCGCCATCATTCGTCTCCCAGCCTCCCTCACAGGTGGACGCTGCCAATGAATAAAAACCAATCCGTTACATATTTAATGCCAAAAATATGTCACTACTATAGTCAGGTATGTCTCACATTTATCGAAGTCGTTCTCTATCCAGTGAGATACGTACCGGTAGACGGTGGTAGAGGCGGGGAAACCGCGGCGACGGCACCCCGCCGGTGGTCGCAGTTACTGAAGTCGACGCGTGGCCCTATCGTCGGCGTGCCGTCATGTTTCAGTATGGCTCCCGGGTCGAGGTAAAACCCGGGTTTAGTCGGGAACACGAGGTAAACGTTGTTGAGCGACACGTCATCGGTTCCTCCCAGACGCGGCTTGGAAAACACCATCGTCATCTTGTTACCGATCTTCGCGAACTTCGACAGGATGACGTCATTAGTTCCGCGATTGTTTTCGTCGTTCGATGGAGGGGCATAGGCAGATAGAAACCTGCGGGCAAAAAAATGCATGTCTGCTATGCATATTCGATCAATCCGAGTGATAGCACAACGGGATGCAAAATAGATGGGTGGATTGATACATAAACGGACGGACTGATATCAGTAGATTAATAGATGCGAATTACAAGGAAAACTCTCGAAAGATGGATAAGAAGAACTCGATGCATATAGATCAACTTTTACCCATCAAAGTATCGTGGCTGATTGTTGCTGATCCAACCATAGACAACGTCCGTGTTTGGCTATAACAGAAAAGCTTGGTCAAACGCAGTACACTATATGACTATATTCCGTTAATACTGTTAATACCTATAAATGCCGATTTCAAATCATAAACTCTATAAACTGGAAACTCTAAAATGCCTCTTTGCGGACACGAAATTGGTCCTTAAATTGTCACGATCGCGTGGCTAGTCAGGGTTTCTAATGAAGGGCACACGCGTAGTTGTCAGACATCGTTACCATCCTCCTGTTGGAGGAGAAGCCGATGGCGATCCATCGCTGGTCGTCGACAGGCAGCTGTGAGATCGAGAACAACACTCTGTCAGTCGCAGGATCGTACTGCCACGATGCCTCGTAACCAGACCCGTCATCGGCGCGCCATGACCCGCGACAGTTCTGCCCTGAAGTAGTTAAACCCACCCAATTTATCATGTACCTAAAATTCGTCGTCGTCCTTGCTCTTTTTTTTTCTTTTTTTTTTTTTTCTTCTTCTTCTTTTTCCCCTTTTTCTTCTTCGTCTTATTATTATTACTGCTATTATTATTATTATTATTATTATTATTATTATTATTATTATTGCTGCTGCTGTATTATTACTATTATTATTATTATTATTATTATTATTATTATTATTATTATTATTTTGTTTTATGGTAGGCCTATGGTATTCAGATTCGCATTTGCCTGATAAACTTTGTGAAAATACTAAATAATGAACGTTAGCATAATATTATAATGAACAACGCTAGGTTGCGTGCCAAACGACAGATTATACATAGTTCCTTTAATATGCCATCATTTTCACATGGCTGTAGCCGTAGTAGCCGTGATGCGCGCTTGCGCGTTGTTTTGCTCTCTCGTGAATATTTTGCATCACGCATTTACTGGCTCTGTCAACGTTGTATATGCCAAACCTGCTTATTTAAAGATCGTTAAACAGTCGAGGCTATAACACATTTCAGTTACCCTCTGCGCCGATATCTCGGCAGGAAAGTACCCAAAACCTTTCCTGTTCTCTGCCAATGCCTTTCCTCTATTCCATAGCATGCAGGACGAGGGAAAATACCGCTAGCTAGTTCTAGCTTCCACTTATGTCGCGTTTTAAAACTCTTGCTAGTCACTATTAAGTTTACAGTACCCTTGCATCGTTCCTATGAGAATCGTAAGGACATTTATTCTTAGCAGCGCACTGACAGAAAGACATCAAATGCCATTTATCTCTGTACGTCTCTTCCCACTCAATTACGCTCAAAGTCATCTTCTCCAATGAGCCGCATGTCAAATAGATTATTTCTCCCCAAAGCCGACATGCTGTAATGGTAATTACACGATGTACGAGCAGATTCTGACCTTGGAATATTTCGGCGGACGTTTTGCGAATGTCCTGTCGAACATTCGCGACATGCGGACATCTTGCTGCGACAAGCAGAACAGCTTGCGTAGCGATCGTAAATAATTCGCACGACCTTGGCAATATCAGAAATGCGGTCGCTGTGCAGTAGACGTGACGTTGTGTTCGCTATACCAGCTCGGGCGACCATTGACAATTTAGCTAGTGGATAATGTGCATGTAAGCGCATTATTATAGGGTTATATTACCTGTACATCATATGCGAAAATATAATGTTATATTTACATATCAAGAGTAGATAATAACACAGTGTTATTATCTACTCTTGTTACATATACATACATTTTTACATATATAGTATGTTATATGTACTATACGAGAAATATCACTAAATTTACGAAATTATAACTCAGTAATTATGAGGAATCAAGGTTGAATACTAGATATATACTATATATACAAATTCAGACGAACCCTTTGAGGCAACTGATTATTTTATTCGAAAACTATTATATTTTACTAGAAATCGCAGCAAGTAGCAGCTCTCCAATGTGTGTGTACATGTTGCTAGCCTGCGAGCGGTGAGTTATGAAGGTAGGAAGGTCGGGCGAGACCCACATATACTCGATTAGAAACGACGATGGCGCTCTCTAGCAATGGAAGAGATTCGCTTGACTGATTAAGCTCGTATTTGCATCGTCTCTCATCACATACGTTGTTATCGATGGACGAGTACTATTAATTAGAATAACGTGGGGGGAATTAGGACACGTTTTTAGTTCTCTGTTTCGATTATAAGGAGTGTAGGCTTAATAGCTGTCCGTGAGTGTCTCAGTGAACCACAGTCTCAAGAGTAAATCTACTCACAGGGCCCGCCATGATTACTTACATGGGACCAGGATCTATCTGGACTTCTACTTTGCATATTAGCCGGATAATTTATGACCCGGCCGGTTGAAGTCATTCATGTCTATAATCTGTATTCGATCACGTAGCCATAATATAACAATTACATAACGTAACTGCCCACAGGCACTTGGGCCGTTTCAATAATAAAATGATGGTTAATAAATACAACGCACGCGCGCACGCACCTAGAGCTCTAACCTACTGTGTATTTGTGCATACACAATGCACATTTTATTATTGAAACGGCCCAAGTGCCTGTGTAACTGCCATCACCATCTATAGGCCTACAGCTATACGAATTAGCGACGTGATGTTGCAGTTTATTTATTTTGTTCATTTTTGTGTGTGATTAAATTATCGTCTTGTTCCCATCGCTGCTAAGATAGTATAGACTAGCCACTGCTTCCCTGCATCGCATGCTGCTCTGCGTAGTCCTCTCCAGCACATTTTGTCCCGTTCTTGTTGACTTGACATCTGCCTCTATCTCCAGCTTTACTCTAGCATTCCTCGCAATGACTATTCGGTTAGAGATTAGTTGGTGCATGTTAATGGAGCTTGAAGAGCGCAGGAAATTGCATATCCATTACCATCTTTTTCTCCATTTTCCTTTTCAGTGGAACTTAGTTAATGCACTCTGAAAGGTTTATGTTGCTGACCCTGTATGTGATGGATACCTCTCAGGCACTTGCTGATGTCGATTAGTGGTGCTGTTGTTATTGGTTTGTTTTCTTCGTGGTTTCTGACCTGTGAGAGCCAATAGTTTGATGATCGAATTTAAAAGGTAAAACTTTTTTTACTTTGTCTTGACACCTGCTGTTGACTGTGTTGGAGTGGGCAGCCAAGTCATCGCCAAGGAAGACGGTCATTATAAGGACCACTCAACACATGAACAAGATACCGTAATGCACGCATTGGGATTTGTATGGCTCCATGCATTAAGCGCGGCAGTATATGTATACATGCATGTAATTGAATACATTTTCTATGTATATTCAATATACTATGTATTATTTCATCGTTACTTATTTAGTATATGCGCGTTATGGATGTCCAGATCGTCAACCGATTGCGCAGCAACCACGTAGCCTTTCGTATTTTTTCATCCAGCCGCCGTTGTACTTGCGCGTTGTGTAGGTGCGTTGTGCGCATGTGCGTAGTTACGTGCGTGCGTGCGCGCGCGTGCGTGCGTGCTGCAGTGCGTGCGCTGCAGTGGCGTGAGTCCCAAATTAAAACAACAAAACGAAGCATTTAGGCTACTCAAATTCGTGGGTTAAGNATTCATCTTACTTTATTAGTATATTGCGCGTATATGGAGTGTCAGATCGTCAACGATTGCGCACGCAGCCACGTAGCTACGTATTTTTTCATCAGCGCGCGTGTGTACTTGCGTCGTGTGTAGGTGCGTGTGCGCATGTGTAGTTACGTGCGTGCGTGCGCGCGTGCGTGCGTGGTGCGTGCGTGTGTGCGTGCGTGAGGCGTGATGTACTTCAAATAAAACAGCAAAACGAATGCATTTAGGCTACCAAATTCGTTGGGTAGTGATATCAAATAACATTGTTTGTCTCTATCGGCTTTTATTCAATTATAGACGTTATCACATTTCAGTCATGTGCTATACATTTTTTACCGCATAACTGCATGGGTGGTCTTTCTAAAACGTTATCAAAAGCAAGAAGTTTAGAACAGAAAATAAAGGTACGTGCGGGCCATAGCAGTATTCCACTTAAATCACCATCATCTAATGATATCTTTTGCACTTATTTTTATTCAAGCGAGAAAATAATTATTTGCGTGCTTTTGCAAAACATGGCTTGTTATTCATTGCTACCGCATTCGATTTATCTACGCTACTGCGCGCTATATTACGAGATACTACTAATGTTCAAAAGTAGACTTCAAAAATTACATTTAAAATAAACGAAAGTGTGTTCTCCGCGG